CAAGGCGGGGACCACAAACTGTCATCTGGCGGGCCGCAAATGGCCTCCGGGCCGCATGTTTGAGACCCCTGAGCTAAGTATATGGAAGGGAAGGAGGCAAATGATTTGAGTAATATGTAATAGAAAATGGCTAGCATTTAAATTAATTTAATTTAGAATGCTAGCCATTCTAAATCCAACCCAAACAACGGGTTGGATCAGGAGTTTTATGCCACTAAGGAGAAGATTCTCAAGCAAGTTCTACTCAGAATGCTGCTCCGAGTGTGGAAAGGAAGGAAGGCAACTTTTGCCAGTTCCCTTTGCCACTGCAGTACCCCAGTGCCACCTTTCCCATTGCTCAGGATTCTCAATCATCTGGAACAGATTTTTGAGGGATAATAGAGTACTGCGGGGATTGGTGAAGCTCACCTGCTCCATCTGTCAGTTTTAGCTGGGTGAAAAGTCTCCTGAGAATGAAAGAAGTCTATTTGTTCATGCAAGGCTTTTACTGGATCGGACCCGACAAACTTTGACACAAGTGTGTGGAAAAACAGAACTTGAAGTAGCTGGCATCACAATTCTTCTCTGTTGAACTATATGCTCCTTTTCCATGGTAACTCATGTGCAAAGGAGCTTTCAGCAATCTCGGAACGGAATGACAGTAGTAAAATACTAGTTGTCTCCTTCTCCACCAACCACTCCTGGAATGTTCTCAGAATATTCAGAGAATCTGCCCATTTGTCAATGGATGGAGCCAAGGACTGCAGGATAAAGTGCCCCCCCTCAACTGTGGGCTATCTCTGGTTCTACCAATATTCTGTTTGTCAGAGCAGGTGACATAAAGTTGTTGAGGCCTATTTAAAACATGCTGTTCCTGAACAATACTGATAGTAAACAGAACTCTCATAGCCAAAAGTAAGATATGCACAGTTGGGATATGAATTCAACAGAACTAAACCAGCAAAGACAAGTTGACTTCTAAACAGGTAGTGAAAATTTTGGGAAAAGAAACATTCTGAGGAAAACAGTGCCTTATAAATTTAATCTGATACTCTTATCATATCAAATTTTTTCTTTTTGAAATGCTTTCTTCTATGTAATTCCTACAAAGCTGTTTACCTAGCACCTATAAAACACTCCTCTCTCATTTTCTGTATAAACTGTTATATATGTTTAAGTGCACTTCACAACCAATACAGCTTACAAAGCTTTTCCAAGGTAGTGTAGAAAATCTTATATACAAACACTTTACCATACAGCAATACTGTGAATGTAACATACCGTATAGGATTAGGATTGAAGACTAGAACATCCTGAGATTCTGAAGCAAAGTTTTCTCAAACATCATTCCTCACATCACACAGAATGAACTGAATTTGAAATTCTGAGAAGATTGCAGCTGAGGGACAGCCAAATTATCTCTTTTCTAGGGCAGACAGTGATGCCAGATACCCTCTTGTGTTTGGACAAACATCAGGACATTAACATGTGTGGTGTGTGTTAATCTCTCCCCTTCTTTATCCTCTCTGTAAGATGCAGCTGCTTTTTACTCACTACTATATCAGCGTTTCTAACTACTGCAACCAAGGATGTCTTGTTCTTCCACCAGCAGAACAGCTGTCATCAGCATAGTGAATGTGTAGGTAATTCCCAAGCTACCAATATGAATTTGACACAACTCTGGGAGGCAGTGGAAGACAGGAAGGCCTGGCATGCTCTGGTCCATGGGGTCACGAAGAGTCAGACATGACTAAACAACAACAATGTAATTCCCATTACTCCTGCAGTTCATCACACACCCTCCAGCAGAAATTTGGGGATGTGAGGGGAAGGAAGGAAAGGACATCTGCTTACAGAACATTGGGTTTTGGTCATTCTGTTTGTAGAGTTGCTTATAAAAACCTGTCAGGGTCCTCCAAATCAGTAATTATATCATTTCTATTGACTTAATGAATTCTCCCAAGCCAACTACACCAGAGCACAGAGTGCTGTCCTCTGAAGATGCCGGCCACAGAGACTGGCGAAACGTTAAGAAGAACAACCTTCAGAACACGGCTAAAGAGCCCGAAAAACCCACAACAACCATCTAGCAATTGATACTCTTACGTCGTGTAATGCTACTGTTTACTGATTTGATGTTTCCTGCACTTTAGTGCATGCTCAAAATTTCACAGAAAGATCAATGCTTCTCACTTCGTTTATTGCAATTCCTGAGCAATTCTGTCACTTAGCTGAGAAATCTGGCATAATTGACACGTGCTCTTTGGACTAGTTTAGGACTTTACAAACGTCATAAGCTGTAGAAATATTCTTGGAATTCTCCCTGGCCTAATGCAAGTTGTGCCACCAGCATGGCATTGCTGTGCCAGGAGAATGTTGTATCAAGTTGTCTCCGGTAAATGGTAAATCTTGAGTTTTCTCATAGCTGATGTTGAAGCATCTGATGGGTGGCCTTTCAACCCCAGACTATAGAATGCAGCCTAATTTCAGCAGAAATGTAACTGTCCAATATGGCTTTGGGAGTACTGGATGGGGAATTACTTCAGGTTAGGGTTCAAAAGGCTTTGATTTACCATATATCACCTACAGCATCCTAACCTCCCAAGCACTGGCATGCTTAGTACAGGGACAGAGTAACAGGGGAAGAGTTATGCTTAAGTCCATAAAGGATATATCTGCATCCTGTTCCTTTTCCATGAAGAAATCAGGAATGTGACTTTTCTGAGTGTAAAGTTGTTTTCTGTTATGGTAATCTGTCTGTGTATGCGATAAGTCTGTTTTTACCGTCTTAATTATATTTTAGAGTATAATCGTGTTTGTCCTTTGCTATACATAAATACATAAACCAGTACATTAAAATTTGAGCAGCTGAATAATTTTAAACATTAGAGTTGAACAGGGTAAAAAGTCACAATGCTTATAGCATAGCACTGAATTATTCAATTTGTATTGCTTATAGCCACATTATTTGTCTAGCTTCTACTACTTCAGGAAGGAGGACAGGAAACTTTTAACATTGTCAGATAAAATATGAACATATAGAGACTTTAAATGTAAACCAACTATTTGGATTGTGGCTTTGAAAAATAAAGGCAAAAAAAAATAAAGGCTCCAGTTAAAAGTTCTTTAGCTGCTGATTAGAATTCCCTGATGGTGATTAATGAGTGTGGAATGCAATCATGCTTGTAGGCTTTAATCAATCTTATGATGGAGAAGTCAGTTATCCAAAGAAAGATCAAATTAATACGTGTATTGTTTCTGTTGGGCCTATTATTTTTAAAACGAGGGGGGGGGGAATAGAAAGTAGCCAATTTTGTGCTGCAATATTTTGGAGCACATACAGTTCTAACAGACTGGTAATCTTTGAATGTACTAATACATGTTTAATTCCATCTATCATAACCCTGTTAATATATTTATTTTTATATCGCGTGTGTTGTACAAGCAGTTTGCGGTGTGTTCTACAAGCACTTTTTCTCATTAGCTTATTTGTGCAGTGCTACTTTTTTTGAAGTAACAGTTTTAAGATGTTGGAATTTCAAATATTGAAGAGGAAAGTTCCTGTTTATTTATAAAATCCAATACATTTATTTTAATGTTATGCATTTCTGTTACTCAGAAGGATCAATGAAGTGAAAACACAGGAAATACATTATCATGTGAACAGAGTAATCTGATATGAGGAATCTTTGTCAATACTAAGTGTTGGATATAATAGCTGTTATTAATAGCCTGCTGTCAGAAACTAGAACATATACTGTAACTAGTGGAAATAAAATTAAAGTGGGGATATTCCCACAGAAGTACTTAACATGTACCACAGTCCTTTTGAACCCATTCTGACTAAGCAGAGAAAGTTTGCGTACAACTACAAGTGGACAGAAACAAATGAGGGCTGCTAGATTATTAACAATTCTCTTTACATACATTTGATCTCCCTAGCTCTATAGATGACTCTACACTTTTCTGTATGTTCCAGTTCATTATCTTACATTATCTAACTATTATCTAACTCTTCATCAACCTCATATTCTCCATCATGCTAACTTTTGTAGCAGTAATACTTTTATTGTACAGTTCTACAGAACTATGTTTTCCAAAATGTGCAAAGGGATAAAAGCAGTACAGTGGGGTCTTGACTTGAGAACTTAATCCGTATTGGAAGGCGGTTCTCAAGTCAAAAAGTCTGTAAGTCAAGTCTCCATTGACCTACAGTGCATTGAAAACCGATTAATCCTGTAACAGGCCGTTTTTGTTCCATTTTGGTTTTTTTCTGGTCTGTAAGTCAAATCTCAGTGTGCAAGTCAAACCTAAATTTTGCGGCCAGAGAACTCTGTAACTCAAAAAGTCTGTAAGTCAAGCCGTCTGTAAGTCAAGGGTCCACTGTAATGTATAGACATTTATCCTAGTTGCCTCATTTTTAAACATCCTTTCAGTGGCTGTGTTTTCTGATTTTAGATTCTCCACAGAAGTTCTGACATTCTCATCACAGTGCAAACTTGTGCATGCTTCCTTAAAACAAATCCTCCTGAACTCAACAAATATTAGAATAAATGTGCATTGAGTTCAGCTGTGTTTGTGTCCTCATATTATTGCAATCTATGTGGCCATTTTGAACCCTTTCTGGGCCTAATGACCAAAAATATTGGGAATATTTGAAATTTTTATCGTTCTCAGATTTGGATAATATCTATTTTATGATACTGTATTTTCACAAGTTTTCTAGCTCATCTTGCTTATTGAGTAATTATTTTAAGATGTGTGGTTTATTACATCTGTATTAATGCCACCATAAATGATTGAAGGACGTTTCTCTGTGGCTTTCTGAGTGTCCTTACAGCTAGCGTGTTGTCCATCAGTGTTGTCCTTCTAAGCAAACAACTTGCCAAGCTGCTGTTCTATTTGCCTCAGAGTGATTCATAGGAAAGCAGATGGCTTAGTGAAATATCTTGTACCTTCAACATTTCACAGCTTCTGCTTGAGAGAAATAATGCCACTGGTTTGTTTGTTTCTATGTTCAGAAATACTGCCGCACAATCCAGCTGGATTCTGGAATAGACTACAGGAAACAAGGGCTACCTGCAGCTGGAAAGCTATACTACCTGTAAGTTTAAGTGAAATTATTTTTATTCAATAATTCCATTTACCAGGATACCTTGTCAAAGGGCAAACAGAAGCAACAAATGCCATCCTTTCAGTTAGGCAGCTAAATGCCTTCCATTTTTGCCATAGAACTAATGCCATCTGACAACATTTTCAGAATCTTCAGTAACATTATTTAAAAATGTGTGACTGAATCAAAACTAATTAGATTTGGGGAGAGGGGGAGGTGTGGTGTTTGCGGAGCTGAAGTGACAGATGGTTATAAAGGAATGAATATCCTCTTGTAAAAGAGTATGCAATTCCCTAGTAAATAAACGAGCATCCTTATTGTAGTAAAGTAATTATTTATACAAATCCACTGACAAGGACTCATTTACTGTTGGGTGTTGCCATTTGTAGATTCAAAAACTTGTCTTATTTTGACAGATGATCTGCTTGTATCTAGGGTGTTGATTTACTTCAGCATTTATTCTGTGTTTGAAGATGAGAAAAATTATACTATAATACAGCTATAAGTACAATTTATCTGTATAGCTCTGATTTCTGTTTCTCTAATGATAGTTTACCCTCAGAGCAATTTGAGAATACAAGTATATGTGATGCAAAGTTGTTCCAACATCTAAAAAAATAAAGTGGTTTTAATCAAGCCAATACAAGTATGATTCTACACATAGCTTTATGTCATTGTTTTAATATTACTTTTGAATCTTTTAAAATAATTACTTGGCTTCTATCTAACAAAATGAATATGTCCAGTCCATGCCTCTAATGCCAGTGTATTATTTGGAGTGTTTGTATTACTTTGTTTATATTCCAGGGTTATGTAGTATTTTGTATAGAAATTAACTTTTGTGACTTTTATGCATAGAGTTGCCAATTCTTAGCATCTGATCTGACATTTTCCAATTTTAAACAATCCTCTTGGAGGGATTGAGGGATTGCCATGTCTGCAAAAGGCTTTCCTTTCCAGATACACGAAAAAGAAAGTGATTTACTGTAGTGGTTTTGAGACCATAGCCAGTGCCTGAAATATTAGGACTAGTTACAGAAAATTACTCAAATGTCAATACTTCATATTCTGAGAGAGAATTGTCATTAAATTTGAGATATTGTAGCAAAATTTGCATTTGCTGGTAAGGACATGTGGATGTGTACTTCTATGAAAATATATTCATTTGTCAGCTGCAAATCTAAATTAAGTGCAAAACTGTTGTGTTTAAAGTTATCCCGTTTTATTTGTTAAGGAGGCACTCACTCCAGATTTGTGGAAGGAGGGGCTGTATAATCCTTTGAGAGTAGATCTTGGATTCTGCTGTTGCCACCATTTCAGTTCAATGTACAGGTATAGGAAGTTGGGAACAAAAGAACTCCAAAGAGCCTTCCACTGTTTCACAGTCTTTTCTCCCAGCGAGTGGCTAATGCATCTTCTCAGCATGTACTTGCTGGAACTCTACATTTGTCTGAAGTAACCATCTCACAGATGTTCTAGAAACCATATGAATCAGGTGTAAGATCATTTTTAAAGTCGTAGCTGGAAATAAATGAATTATTTGTTTCAGTGTGACTAATTTAATATAGACTAGATTTCTTTAGATTCTGAAAACATGGTCTAAAATGGAAGCTTTTGAGGTGCACAGCACCCCAAAATGTTCATTTAAATCTCCGTTGGGCTATCAAGAATCCTGGACTTATAACAAAAGAAAGAACAAAACAAAATAGAAATTGTAATATATCTACAATATATATAGGTTCATCATAAATAGTTCATCGTAAATAATGGCACCAAGGATTTTTTCCCTTCTTGGAAGAAAATTGCAAATACGAACTTTTGTGTTGTACATTTTTACCATGGGAGCGCTAACCTGTGACAATAGAAAGCCATCCTGGCACCAAATTAACAATGGTGGAAACAGGTTTATGGTTTCCAACCTACTTCAAATTATAGTTCTTCATCCTTGTATTTAATCAGTCCTTAATCATAGTGTGCAAATTCACTAGATATACTATACTGTTTAACTATGGTTGCAGAAAACATACCAGAGGTAATAATTTAGGGTCAGGGCAGGATTTCAGATGGGTGTTGTTGTTGTTTGTCTTGTGCTGGAAAAGAATAATTGCCATAATGGAATATATTGTTTCAGATGAAAGGTAAAGGCATCTTTTACTGGAATATTTCTTGATATATTTTTTTTAAAAAGCCCAGTATTCCTGCCTGTAGAAGACTAACTCATCAGGAATTATAAGCTTGCCCTCCATCTGCTGTGTTGGTTTTTACTTACAGTGGTATTTGTCTGTTTATAATATAAGAAGGACATGAATGAATAAGACCCCCACTGGTTGCTTTTTATATGCATTCATGTCCATTCTACCACCAGATTCCATTCTATTTAATGTATGGATTAGGCCTGTGTGGCACTAGATCTAGCTTCATGATACTGTGTTTTCTTTCAAAATTGCAATGTTTAATATCCCAAGATCTGTGTAATATCTAAAATCAGGCATGCTAGTTTTATAACTGCTGTTGTTCATCTCCAAAGTTTGAGAAGTATATTATGCATTTTTCCCTCTTTAATCAGAAACTGGGGGAAAGAAGCACTGAAAAAGCCATTGTAAACCACCTGGTGACTTATAATGAGAGCTGAAATGTTTCTGTGACTTCATAGTCCTCATGGCTGGTAACTGTTTCAGGACCTGACAGGGAACCAGTATTGGATGGAAGATTTGATGTGTTTATTGATCACTCCAAAATTAATTCAAGAAGCATATGGGAGTATTTCAAAGATGATGAAATCATATATATCTATATGCTTATTTACACATAAACCTGATGAAATAAATGAAATGTATCCATGGTTTGAAAATGGGTGGAGGGGGGTTTGATTACTCTCCCATCCAGTTATGCAGTCGGGGGGATTCTGAGAGTTGTAGTCTAAAAAACTGAACCTTTTCACTCTCTGGCTGTATCTGTGTCAAATTGTTTTTCTGTCTCACAATTTCTTTTTCATTCTCTGTCTCTTTTTTCTGTTTAATTCCAAAGGATTACTATTCAAAAGCTTGACAGCCTTTGCCTCTTTATTGTTATTTTGTCTAGAAGATGCAGAGAGAAGCTTGTCTTCTCATATACACATATAGCAGAGATGACCTTGCCTTGCCCACATTGCCTCATTAACTGGATCAACTTGAAACACTGACGTCTTTCAATGTATGTAAATGGAACAGAATCATCTACCTGAGACATCATGTCCTCTGCTTTTAAGTGCCTTCTAAATCTAATGTTTGTGTTTACAACACAGCATCCTGTATTCCCTCTTTCCTCTTGTTTTTTTCCTGGTGGGCAAAAAGCTAAGAAAGCTCAGGCAGCTGTTTGATGTTGGCTTCAAGTGTTATTAATTTCATATTCTATTATTCTTTTCACTGTAGCACAAGTGAAGCTGATGTGGAGGCTGTCATGGATAAGTTGTTTGATGAGCTGGCTCAAAAACAAAATGATTGTACGTAAGTTAATTTCTCTTGAAAGAGAATACATTTAGAACACAATGCCCAATCTCCACTGACCAATTAATAAGTTCCACTGCTGTATATGGGTTGATGCCACACTCAAGTGGCAGTCATTGTATCAGCATTTTGTCTAATTTATGTGTTGAATCATGTGCTATTATTCATCAAGCTATGCATTTCCTATCTGTAAGAGATGGGTTTTATAGTAATTATCCAGACAAGATTGAGTCTTTGTTCATGTTCCCATAGTAACTAGACCAAGGATTTTAAAAGTACAAGGCAGAGGGCTGAGAGTGAATAAAGCGTGTGGAACCATTGCAGACTTCACATTTGAAGAGCTGTGTGACAGAGTGAGTACCCCGTCAAGACTAGATCTGTTGGGCTTTTCAGGCTTTTTCTTCTGTTTTTATCCTATCCCAGCTCCAGATAAGCATTCAGATCTTTGAGTTCACCGCAGCAACAATAACAATCACAGCAATCAAAGTAACAAAACTTGAATTGCAGAGTATAAATGTAAATAGTGAACAAATAGAAAAGCATGGCATAAGAACTTTATCTTCAAAGTAAAGTAATTTATTTGCTGAAGTATAATTCTGGAGTACACTTATGTATTCATTATTAAAAGTAATTAATATTTAGATTTTTTTTAAACTGTTGCTCACTTGAGTAAAAAACAACTATCGTTCCAGATCAAACTAAAAGCCCACCTAATGTAGCACTTTATTGGATGTTAGAAGCTCAGATGTGGGGTTTGAAAAACTTCCATTTCCTTTTGCATTTCAAGTATTTTGACAATTTTGGCAAATACAGGACAAGGTTTTCCATCTTACTCCCATAATGGATTTTCAATCTTCCTGCTTTTTTCTCTTGCCTTTCAATAACGGCTTTGGTAGAATCTCATTTAAATACCTTGAAAATAGCCTTCCACACAAGAACTCACAGGCTTTCCTAGGACATATATCACTATGCTGTCTCTGAGACTGAGGGGATGTTATTGCTCTATGAATCTTTCCATCCAAATCTGAGCTGAAAATGTAAAGTTGTCAGTAACGTACCTTATTGAAGAAGCATCGAAAAGCTTACTTTTATGTCTGCTCAGCTGTCATGGTTTTTATAGGTAGAGTTTATTAAAAGACTGTAGTAGATAATTCAGTATAAAGTAGACCTTTAAGTTTTATAGTGGTATAGAATGTAGTGATCTCTAACAGTCTCATCCTGCTGGGAATGTTAATTGCTTCAGCAGTGGGGATATAATTAGCATGAAAGATTACAAAACACATTAGATGACAGAAAAAATACCAGAAGTTGTTCAAAACAATATGTGTCTGCAACTCTAGTTTCATTTCTTTGACCCTGGGGAAGTTCCTCATGATGCTAGTTCATTTCATCTTTCCAAAATACTCATTAAAGATCATTTCCCCTTCACATTTCTCATAACTAAAAATACATCCATGGTTTCTACTTCTGATTTTTATTTATGAAGGGCATCATACTACAATGCAATGTCCATAAAATTACGGAATAGAAGACCATTCATTTTCATGAAATATCATAAGCAAATGACACAGTGTGTTTCGTACGTGGGCTGGAAAAGTACCTCATGTTGAAAACTGGCATTTGCTTAACTGGGATAAATGTCACTATATACATAACTGAAGCACACCATGACAAATCTTCATACTGGAAAGAACATTCTCCTTTCTCAAAAGAGTAAATCTATTACTGTAGTTCATGCTGTTTTTCAAGTTCATGAAGAATTTTTCAGTTTTAACATTGGCTATATTTTGGCTGCATTTGGCTGTCATATTAACTATAGTTTTGCACAATTGTGAAGTAGCTGCAGCAAGCATTCAACTCATGTGCTCCCTCATCTCTTCCCCCCTGAATAGCTGGGTTGCGTATGGAAACTACCACTTTTACTGACCCAAAGTCAATTGTTTTGCCCCAACTTTAAACTGTGATTAATCATAATTAAAGTCTGTTGAAAATGGTAGCTTCATATCTCATAGTTAATGTTAACCAGTTAGTAAATTGAGATTAAACTACAAACCCAATTAATTGTAAACAATTTGTTCATTATTTAAAGTGTTCTATTACTTTTCAAGGAAAAGTTTTTGCAACGCAAGTGTAACTTTATATCTTTTATGTGCTACAAATACATTTTAAATACAGTGGTGCCTCGCACAGCGAGGTTAATCCGTTCCGGATTAACCCTCGCTGTGTGAAACATCGCTGTACGGAAAGAAAAAAGCCATTGGAATGCATTAAACTTAGTTTAATGCGTTCCAATCGGCTGATTTACTCACCATACAGCGATGTTCCTCTATGGCTGGCATCCATTTTCGCGCCCTCCCCTCGCTTAACGAGGGCGCGAAAACGCTGCGCGTGGCCATTTTGGGGCTTCCGGCGGCCATTTTGTAGCCGCGGAACAGCTGATCGGCGGGTCGCAAAGCGAACCGCTTACCGACCTTCACTCTGCGATTTTCGCCCATTGGGGCTGTCGCGCGATCGAAAAAACGTCCCCGTAGAGCGATTTCATCGCTCTACGGGGCGTTCGTTGTGCGAGGCACCACTGTATATCACAGCACTTCTGCAACATTTACCATAAATTTAGGGCATGTCCAAATTAAGTATTTGCCCCCATAAAAGTACCTGTTGCTGATCCTTTTGGTATTTCCCCCACCATTTTGGTGGTATTTTCCCCACCATTCAGTAACACAAACTCTATCCAATATGATCTGTGCCTTTTCCTCATATATGTCCATGCTTATTGGTTGTTCCTGAGAGAATGCTTTTTCTTGGCCTGTGATTTATTCTGGAATGCAAAGTTTTGTGCTACAGCATTTCCTGTGGAAAGTTCACTTCTGCATAAGAACCTTTAGACTGGAATTTTTTAAATTAGCATTTTATCAAAAGTCATGGGAAATATCCAGCAATGAAGGCAGGGTTTCACAATCTCTGGAAGCAAAATGGTTTCCGGAGATGTGGCTCTTTGAAGTTCAAAGTGGATGTGAATTTTGGTAAGCCCCATGACTTTATCAGGAGAAACTCTGGACATGCTCTCTGACAAGCAATCTTATACTTTATCTAGGATCAGAACTGAATATAAATACTCTCACAGCATGTGTGTTAGTGCATATATTCTTTAGCCTGGTAACACCTAAATCATAATATTAATGGGCTTTTACTATGGATTCAACTAGCTATTATACTGTAGTGGGTCCTTAGAGCAAAGCATCAGCAGAAGGCATTTTGTGATTGTCACAGAACAGTGGTCAGCATAGCTTTATGGAACCCCAGTCTATCCAGTACCTTACTTGGAGGGCCTTGCAGCCTAAAGTATCAAGGGGGTAGTCCACTGCATGCTTGCCTGCATTGATATTTGACATAGCAGGAGAACAGTTGGAGAGAATCTTCAGAGTGTCTACTCAGGTGTGTCTGAATTAGAAAGAGACTCAGAGTGAAACATCAGATGGGGAGTCTCTCTGGAGAAGGTTCTCGGAGGACTCCTCAGAGAGATCTGCTGGGCAGTATGAACAACCTTATCTGGGGTGAGAAGAGGACTGACCTCTCATCTATCATCTAAGTTAAAACTCATGGGAGGACCAGCTCCAAATCCTATCAATTTGCATTTATAGCAAATACTTCAGCATGGCATACTTGTTAGTGCAATTGTTGTTATTTTATTTTATTTATTTGTATGCTGTCTTTCTAAAGATAAGAGGGACCCCAGCGGCTCACAATATTAAAAGAATAGAATTAGAAACATAGTAAGTTAAACATTAAAAAAAACAATTAAACTATACACTAATTAAAATACAATTGAATACTTAAAATCAAGTAAACACTTAAAACTATCCTAACTTTAAAATGGCATTCAGTGACTTAATTGTGATTGTTAAAAGGCTGCCTGAACAGATGGGTCTTCATCTGTTAGTGAAAAGGAACGGGGGCCAACTTGATCTCCCAGGGGAGAGTATTCCATACCCTGAGAGCTGTCACAGAGAAGGCCCTGTCTCGTGTACCCCTCAACTGTGCTGGGAAGGGGAGGGCCTGATGACCTTAAATGCCAAGAAGGCTCATATGGGGAGATATGGTCCTTCAGGTAGCCTCGACCTAAGCCATATAGGGTATTATAGGTAATGACCAATACAGTGGTGCCTCGCAAGACAAAAGTAATTTGTTCCACGAGTAGCGTCATATTGCAAAATTTTTGTCTTGCAAAAGTGCGGTTTCCCATAGGCATTCCTATGGGAAACCTTGCAAGATGAATGAATTATTATCGTCTTGCGAGGCATCACTCTTGCAGGGAAAAATCGTCTTACGAAGCACGGCCATAGAAAAAGCCGTCTTGCGAGTCACCACAACAATCGCAAAATGCTTTCGTCTTGCGAGTTTTTCGTCCGGTGAGGCATTCGTCTTGCAAGGCACCGCTGTATTTTGGATTAGGATTGGGGTGTAAATTTTACTTACAGTGGTGCCCCCAATTACGGGTGCCCAGTTTAACGATGAATCCGTGTCTTACGAAGCATGGCCATAGAAAAAGCTGTCTTGCGAGTCACCACAACAATCGCAAAATGCTTTCGTCTTGCGAGTTTTTCGTCCGGTGAGGCATTCGTCTTGCAAGGCACCGCTGTATTTTGGATTAGGATTGGGGTGTAAATTTTACTTACAGTGGTGCCCCCAATTACGGGTGCCCAGTTTAACGATGAATCCGCATAGCAATGGTTTTTTTGCAATCGTTTTTGCGATCGCATTACGATGTTTTAAATGGTAAAACATCGCTTTGCGATGATCGGTAAGCTGTTTCGCTTACCAATTTTCGCATAGCGATGTTATTAGAACAGCTGATTGGCGGTTCCAAAATGGCCACCGGGTTTAAAAAAATGGCCACCCGCAGTGTTTTCGCACCCATTCCTCACTTACCGGGCAGCGAAAAGAGCAGCCATATGGAGGATTTTCGCATAACGGTGAGTTTTTTGCCCATAGGAACGCATTAAACGTGTTTTAATGCATTCTTATGGGCTTTTTTGTTCCACATAGCAACGAAGCCACATAGCAACGATTTTTCCGGAACGGATTATCGTCGCTATGCAGGGGGGTCACAACATTTAAAATAATTCCTTAACCACTATTGAGCCATAGAAATATTTATAGGGCAGCATTCAGTTGATAGGTCTGTGATGAAGTGGAAGAAATCTACATAGAGAGACTGAAAATGAGAGACTGTTTATAATCTCTACACGCACAAAGATTCACATTTTTTTTTATCCTTAGTCTTCAGTTTAGATTGTCAGTTGTGACCACTTAAGTTATGTCCTAGAAGTATTGGAACCCAAGATGCAAAAAA